CACTTGGCTAAAAAATTCTTACTAGAGAAAAATTGTAATGTATAGAAAAGTAAAAAGACAAAGATTACCCATTAGCTCACCATCCAGAGTAACGTATCATCATATTTTCTTTACCTTGTTTTCTGTGGAATATTTAATATAAATGTGAGGTTTTTAAATATGATCAGGTACCCCTTGCTGCCCAGACTCCTGCACTGTGGACTCTTGTTCTTCCAACTTGGGAGCCAAATACAGTCTGATTCCATGCAAATGCCTCTTTGCCTGGATTCTGGTTCCTCGCCCTTGGAAGCTAAATCAGGATGGCAGCTTGTCTGTCAGACTCAAACTGTTCTCTAAACTCTGGCCCAGGAGCCAAACAGATGTGGAGAGCTAGGACATCTTACAAGATTTTATGTTTTTAGGAGCTTTAAATTTTTCTCCTTTTCCCTGTAACATAAATGTTTCTCCTTACCATGAAAACCTTGGTATATAATTGTGATGTTTCCTCTGCTATCTTGGGACCATTTGTCTTTTCAATCAGTCTCTGTGACCTTAAGGAACAGTACAAGGGATTGAAATTGGAATTAGAGTGAGCATGATATTCCAAAGGAAACTGTTCTGGGCAAAATAATGAAATTATTGTTTCTGACTGAGATATTTATCAAGTGGGCAAAATCTGGAGTAATTCTTTGAATTCATTCTGTGTTATGACCTCCAATTTTGGGGGAAGAAAATTTGAGCAGTTCTTTAAACTTTGTAGGCCTAAGGAAGGAAAAATTTAAAAACAAAAAACCTATCTTGTTTTGATGCCTCAATGCCACATGGGTTTTCTTGCTCCTCAGGTGCCTGAAGGCTGGATTGACGGTGGACCCAGTGATCGTGGAGGCATTCTTGGCCAGCCTGTCCAACCGGCTCTACATCTCTCAGGAGAGTGACAAGTACGCCCCCATTCCTGTCTCTCAGAGACAACCCATTGTTCTCAGCAGGCTTGTGTGGGGCACCTGGCATTGTGCGTATGGATGCGTCTGTCCTTATCTCCTTGCCTCAGAGCATAGGCATGCATCAGGGTTGTCACAAGATTTAAGGTGAAGTCCACCTTGGAACGTACTTCCTGGACCACTGTGTGAAAGTTGAGAAAGATCTTTGTCATCCAGCCTAGTACCTGGGGCTTGCCTTTCTGCCGGTGGTTAAAATCCTGGACTGTCAGTTTCAGATGAATACTTCATCAAGACTGTTAGGAAATTAAGGTCTAGATTGTAGTCTCTGGGTACTGTTTCACTACTGCGTGCTGGAGGACTGTTGCTAGGGCGCTTCTGTTCTTCCTTCTGTAGGGACGCTCACTTGATTCCCGACCACACAATCCGAGCCTTGGGACACATCGCGGTGGCCTTGAGGGACACCCCGAAGGTCATGGAGCCCATTCTGCAGATCCTGCAGCAGAAATTCTGCCAACCACCCTCCCCTCTCGATGTGCTGATTATTGACCAGCTGGGCTGCCTGGTTATCACCGGAAATGTAAGGGAGGCCAGAGCCGGGACACCACTAACCCTGTTACATTACAAGCTACATTAAACTCTTGACTGTAAGGAATGTGCAAATACAGATTAAATATACCTTGCAGATGAGCTAAATGCTGACAACTGTTTTAATACTGAGTAGTAAGAATAGTATAAAGTGCTATGAGTGCTGGGGAAAAAGAGGTTTAATTTCTTGTCGGTGTATTATAACAGAACATTTGAATCTAAGCCATGTTCCTTTTAGCTTTTAATTTGAGGTTTGATTAAAGCTTTAGAAATGGATGATCTTTGAGCTGTTGTGCCCCATGATTCCAGAGCTTTCCTTCTGGGTGATGACAGGAGGGGCCTCATAAGGGCATCCTGCATGGTGACAGTGCCCCTCGCTCTCTCCTAGCAATACATCTATCAGGAAGTGTGGAACCTCTTCCAGCAGATCAGTGTGAAGGCCAGCTCCGTTGTATACTCAGCCACCAAAGATTACAAGGACCACGGCTATAGGTAACTGGACTTCATTGTCACTTTTTTATCATGACAGTATTTAATTTACTTTGAAAATGGGAGGTTTGTGAATTTGTCTCTTAAATAAACTCTTCTTACAAGAACACTATATGCTACAGATCAATGCACACATAAGGGGGGAAATGAAAACCCGATGTGCCCCCCGCAGAGGTGACCATCAGGCATCTCAGCGCACGAGATCTCAGCTCCTGCCTCTCCTTCTGATCGGGCCCATGCTGCACATGCAGCTAACCTGCTTTTTTATGGGGCAGCACATCAGCCACACCATGAATGATCCTGCACAGGTTGCCTTTAGAGGTTGCGGAGCGTCCCATCCTGTAGCAGAACCGAGATTTAACCAGCCAGTCCCTAGTTTGGATTTTAGGTTGTCTTCCAGTTTTCCCACTAATAAATGCAGCATTGACAGCCTAACAGCTACATATCTCTGAGCATCTTTGATGCTTTCTGTGGGTCAGATTCAGAGAAGTAGGATTTTGGGTCCAAGGAAGTAGGTGTTAAATGTCTTTGAACATTTGATACTTGTATAAAGTCTGACCAGTTTTCCCTGACAGACGGAGAGATGCTTCTTGGCTATTCCTTACCCTCCTCTAGGAATGCCTTAAGGACAGGGACATGTTCATCCATGTTTGGAAGAGAGGGAAGGGGAGAGGTGAAGTCAGATGAGGACAGGAGGCTGGAGAGGGAAGAAGAGAGCCCTTTTGCAGGCGTTACTCTTCTTGACCTCCAGGCTCCTTCCTTCTGACTGTGAAGTCCAGTCTCTCCATGTCAGTTTAGTGGGTGGGAGTGCAGCTGTGGAGCCATGCCATGTGGCTGCATGACTTCAGAAAATGCTGAACCTCTCTGTGCCTCAGTTTCCTCATCTGCCAAATGAGAACCTGCCTGCAGTTGGGAATGAGACTGCATACGTTAAAGTTCTCAATCAATAGAGCTGTCTCTCACATCGATACTACTTCATTGCCTTCTTGCTGCCACCGTCATGAGCCCAGGCTGCTAGAACAGCCTGAAGACTGGATTGGGAATGGGGTCAGGCTCTCCTTTCCTTCTTCCTCTGTCCCATTCTTTGCCGTGGAACCTGCACACAGGCTAACACGTTGCTTCCTTGTGCCTGTGGGACTGCTGGGCCCTTTCTCCAGGGGCCTCCTCAGCTGCCTCCCCGGTTGCCTTTGCCCCCACCCCTCCTAGATGTTCTGCCACGCCTTACCGTGAGTGTGTAGCATCTGCCAGTCTTCATCCTTCCATTTCTTCAGTTCTGGCTTAGCTTGCCTCTCTTTCCATAAAGCCTTTTCTCATATTGCCACCAAAAATGATTTGTCCTCTTCCTCACCAGCAGAAGCTTTTACTGCCCTTTGTTTGCCGTTGACCTACCAGGTGTTACCTAACTGCAGTGCCTTTTGCTGTGGCTGCTGTTGCTCTGGAATTTCTTAGTGGGGCAGACGACATGCTCAGTGCTTCGCATGGTGTTTCACTCTTCCCATGATCCTACGAAGAGGAATTATTATCCTTGTTTTACTTAGGAAGAAATTGAGGCTCAGAGACTTAAGAGACTTACCCAAGGTCGTGCCGCTTGGACGTGACAGAGTCTGGCAGTCTCCAGGGCCACAGAAGCCTGGTTGGCTTCAATGGTTCAGGTTTTTGGCCAAAGGGGCAATGTCAGCTTCACATCCGGCGTTTACATGGGGCCAGCCAGGATCCTGAGGCAGGACCCTGGAACACTTCCTGAGCATTCGATGTGAAAAAATGCTGACATCAGCTCCAAGGTGGAGGCAGCGTTAGGGAGAAGCTGGTCATGAAGTGAAAGTTCTGTGGGTGGTAAATGATGCATTAAGGCTCTTGGTGATTTGTGGGGGGAAAGCAAGATCCAACCTGGAATGCCTGGGCATGGGCCCTTTCGTTTTCAGCCCTGAGGGAAGTGTCCTGAGACCCTCACAGGTCCCCAGTGTTGCAGATGCCTGGAACTTAGTCTCCTGGAGGTCCTTACTACATCTCAGGAGAAAGGGTTACAGTGATTTCTGCAGCAGTTGAGTTTCTTTTACGGGCTGTTTTTCACAAAGATGACGTGTCCTTCTCCACTTGAGATTCCTTTGATTTACAGACACTGGGAGGAGTGTGCTAAGGCAGGCTGGGTCTGGCCCGCTCAGCTCTCCTCACCCCTGCAGTGCTGTCCCTTGGGGATGGTTGAGGGCATGGCAGTGGCTGTTATTTTACTCTTTCTTTTTCAGGCATTGCTCCCTGGCAGTGATTAATGCCCTGGCCAACATTGCGGCCAACATCCAAGACGAGCACCTGGTGGATGAGCTGCTCATGAACCTGCTGGAATTGTTTGTGCAGCTGGGGCTGGAGGGGAAGCGAGCCAGCGAGAGGGCGAGTGAGAAGGGCCCTGCCCTGAAGGTAGGAAGGAGGATGACTGTGCCTTCCCCATCAGTGTCCCATCCCTGCTGGCCAAGGCTTAGTCTCCAGGCACCATCTTGGTTGGAATATGGCACTTTCTTTGTTGAGTGATTTAAATGTGCCTGGTAGAATGCAAGTAAGAAGGGGTGGGGTTCTTTCTCAAGGATGCTGGCAGGGATGGGGGAGAGGGCAGCTTTCTCACTGAGTTATATCCAGCTCATGGTAGCTGCCTTCCCCATCCCAGAGATGACAACAGTCTAGCCTCAGCTCCCCATGGGCCCCTCTCTCTCTCCTTTCCTTCTTCATGAAGCCCGGGGTGGTAGCTGGGCCTAGGAGGACTTTAAGGGCCCATCATCAGAACACAGCGGCAACATGAGAAGGACCAGAGTTCACCTAATCTCAGGCCACCCAAGGAAGACAGGTCCACTGAGACAAACAAATGTCCTGTCTTGAATGCCCAAATACATTTGTGGTGGGGCCGAGGCAGGTGAGGCCTCTTCTTCCGTAACTCCCCAGTAGCATGTCACGTGGGCACCAGTCGCTCTACCATGTTAGGAATAATGCTTAAAATGTTAAGGAAATTGAATATTTGAACAAAAGATGTTTAGTAAAGCAATGTTATTTTTGTGTAGAGGTTGTCTTTTTGGCTAGTTGTTAGGAGAGCATATTTGAATAAAGAGCATGAGAATTTTTATTTTTGACGCAAGTTTTTTTTTTTTTTTGTTAACTGGGGTTGGGTCGTATAGTTTAAACTAATTTTGGTTGGCTAAACATTTGATTTTTTTAAATAGAGTGGGTATGTAAAAAAAAGTGGAGAGAAAAGGGAGGGGGGTGTTTGTAATGAGCTAGAAAGCTGGTTTTTTTTTTATAAGGAAAGGAATGTGAGTTGGTATTGATAACGCTTGGTACTGAGGCATATTTAGGCATTTAATAAAGGCAAAAAGAAAAAGAAGAAAAAGTGTGGGGTACTATAAATTAAAAAATAAAAGATTGATCAGATTATTTAAAGAAAAACCCCATTATATCCCACAACCATATCTCTGCTTCCACCCTGTTTTGTCATTTCCTCTCCCTTCCCTTCCTTCCTTCCCCTTCCCCCAGACAGCTATTGTTTACCTACTCTCTGCCAGCTACTGTCCTAGGTCAGAGGTCAGCCCACTTTTTCTGTAAAGGGCCAGAGTATAAATATTTTACGCTTTGCAGGCCATACAGCCTCTGTTGTAACTGCTCAACTCAACTCTTCTATGGTTACCTGTTTGTGAACGAACAGGTGTGACTGTGCTCCTATAAAATTGTATTTGCAAGAACAGGCGTTGGGTTGGATTTGGTCCATGGGCCATAGTTTACCAGCCCTTGCTCTAGATGAGGGTGTTACAGAAGTGAACGAGACAGACAGGGTCCTCTCTGACTGTGGGGCTTAGTGGGAGAGTGAAACAGGGCAGTGTAGTGAGGGGCACTTTAGATTGAGCTGGTTGAGAAGGCCTCTCTGAAGAGTGACATCTGAGATGACAGCTGCATGGAGGAGTCCCCCTGTGAAAGTCTCAGTCAAGAGGGAGTGGCTGGTGCAAGCAGGGATCCTAAGACTCTTGTCCCTAATTCGGCCTTGCTATGCCGGGCCCTCCGACAGTGATGTGGCTGAATAACTTCCCAAGTCTCCCAGCGGGGTACACAGCTCGGACCACCTCAGTGCACAGGAAAGAAACGTGTCCCGCATGTCTAGCGGGACCTTAGGCATCAGGATAAGAGGAGGGTGCTGATGATACAAGGTGGTGCTGCGCACCTGAGAAAGCAGAGGCTGTAACCTGTCTGAGGGGTGTTTCAGGAGCCTGCTCTCCCCTGGAAATTGGACCTCAGTGCCTCACCTTGTGGAGGACAAGAAGCTGTAATTATAAATTAAACTAAGATCTGTGGGTTGTTCTCCATCATCACGCAGCCCTTAGGCTATCGGTTTCCCAGAGGGGACCAGGCAAGGCCACCCTTGTGGCCCCCAGCCCAGGGAAACCAGCTTGGCATTCTTTGTAAATTTTCAAAAAAATTTTTGTGGGTACATAGTAGGTGTATATATTTACAGCTTGGCATTCTGTCCCCACCACTGCAGTGCTGTGTGGCTTTGGCAAGCTACTGAGACCTCCCATGAATCTCCCCAGAAGTTAGTGCATGTGAAGCACTCAGCGCATGTGAAGCACTCAGCACGTGCCTGGCTGCAGTGGATGCTCAGGGTCTTCAGCTGCTGTCGTTATTATAGGTTAAGACCATAAATCACGTCGGCTTAGGCCAGTGCTTCCAAAATTTTTACTAATCACTGTGTACTGAAGATTAGCTACATTTGTGTGTCTAGCCAGGGAGTCTTTTATTGTTAAGTAACCCCCCAAAATTTCCCTAGCTTGGAAAGAATATATGTTTATTTTAGAAAAGATACAGAAACCTATAAATAGTAAAGTAAAAAGCACTTATTCCTTGACTGAGATGACATAATCATTACTAACACTTTGACAGATTTCTTCCTAGCTTTTTTATGCATATGTATTTATTACATAATTGGGATTGAATCATAGCACAGTTTTAAATCTTGCCTTTTTTTTCATTTGACATGTGCTGTGGGCTCTTTCCATGGTGACTAAATGCTTTTCAGAAAGTTGTATTTTAAATGGCTGTGTCATATCTAATTATGCAGAAGTGCCATGATTTATGTAATCATTTATGTAACCATGGTTTATTTTTCACATTTGTTTTCATTTTTTACTGTTAAAATTATGCTGGATGAGCATCTCTATGCCTCTCTCTGCATACCTCTCATCATTTCTCTTAGATTAAGACATTCCAGGTTTACATAACACTATGTTGTATCTTGTGTGTTTTTTTTTTTAAATAAAAGAAACACATACTCTTTAATGACAACAATTCTGTTCTTTTCTAGGCTTCTAGCAGCGCAGGGAACTTGGGAGTACTCATTCCTGTAATAGCTGTGGTGAGTATTCATTAATTGAATGATGAAACTGCAGATACTGTGTGCATGCTTTGAGTCTTGCCTGGTGACGCATAGTAAATTCCTTAGAAAGGTGCAGTGTTGAGGCCCCTGTGCCTCTAGATGTGACTGCCTCAGCCATCACCAGCTCTTCCATGACAGCCCTGTAGGTGTGTCCACCGTGAGACACTCTTCACTCCCTTTCTCCATGCCCTGCCCGAACCCCCTCAACCAATTGACAAGGTCACTTGCTTTGGTTCCCTTCTGTGTGGCTCCTAGGTCCTAAATTTGACTCCACTTTCATCCTGTGTCTCATGTCCTCGTGGCTGATGGTGGGCCAGCTCCCTGCTTCCATCCCTTCCTTGGATCCTTCCTGCAAGTGCAGGCCTGGAAGCCTCTTGTTGGTGCTCAGGCCTCGGAGCTGTGGCCCCAGTCTCCTCCAGGGGGCGTTGTTGGCATGGCGGGCACAGTCCCTGCCTCCTGTGCGGCACCATCATGTTGGAGAGCCTGTTTCCGTCCTGTCCTGTCCCAGCCTAGGTCTGCTTCTTCCCAGATGACTTGTAGAAGTTGTTTTTCCCTTTCTTCGTCACTGCTAGCTGCAAGTCCTAAGCCCAACACCTATGTTCCAGTATTTATTTTCATTCCATATTCTCTCCCTTCCATTTAATCGACCTTCTAGGCCATCCCTTGTGTCTGCCTTACAGTGCCTTCCCCCCTCCTCACCCCCTAGTAGTTCAAGTCTTGAGCACTTACATGTGTCCCCTTCAACTTGTACACCAGAGGGTTGGGCCTGGTGGCAGAACTACTAGGGCAGCCTAGGGACGTGGAGGTCAGGCAGACAGGTGGCATTGCAGGCACAGAGAGGCACTTCTCCTGGTCTCAGTGAAGTGGTTCCCCTGCTCACATCATCTGAGTGTTCATCATTATTCCCAGCCTGGGGACTTCTAGGGTGTCCAGTTTTGGCTGGCCGAGGTAGATGAAAAATAGTAACTGACTGGTCTGCCATTATTTATCTTTAGTAGTAAAATGTTATATGTCGCGTGGTATTTATTTGTTTTTATTTTTTATTATATTGTATTTTATTTTTTATTTTTGAGACAGATTCTCGCTGTGTCACCCAGGCTGGAATGCAGTGGTGCGACCTCGGCTAACTGCAATCTCCACCTCCCGGGTTCAAGCAATTGTCATGCCTTAGTCTCCTGAGTACCTGGGACTACAGTCACGCCCCACCACGCATGGCTAATTTTTGTATTTTTAGTAGAGACGGGGTTTCACCGTGTTGGCCAGGCTGATCTCGAACTCCTGGCCTCTAGTGATCCACCCGCCTTGGCCTCCCAAAGTACTGGGATTACAGGTGTGAGCTGCCGCGCCTGGCCTGCCATGGTATTTTTCGTGGACGCCCCCATTGGTTGATTTTTTTTTTTTTTTTTTTGAGACAGGGTCTCACTCTGGCATCTAGATTGGAGTGCAGTGGCACAATATCAGCTCACTGCAGCCTGGACCTCTGGAGCTCAAGCAATCTTCCCACCTCAGCCTTCCAAGTAGTTGGGACTACGGGTGCACATCACCATTCTCAGCTACTTTTTCTATTTTTTTGTAGAGATGGGGTTTTCCATGTCACCCAGGCTGGTCTCAAACTTCTGAGCTCAAGTGATCTGCCCACTTCAGCCTCCCATAGTGCTGGGATTACAAGTGTGAACCACCATGCCTGGCCCCATTGGTTGATTTTTCAAAACAGAAATTTTCCCACTGTATAGTTAATGTTGACTAGTGTATGCTTGTGTGTTTAAAGTGCTGTTGTATGTGGGCCTTTTATCTGACCTGGAAGAAAAAGTAAGGGACATGAAGCCCAAGGCACTCCTTGGCAGCAGGCTCTGCAGGAGAGCAAGTTTTAGGCAGACAGGGAGGATGCTTGGGGCAACACTAAAATCAGTGAGTTCCAGGATCTTTGACCATCAGAGTTTGATGACCTGTATTCTTGTGAGCTTTCAAATATGTTGAGCAGTTGTCATTTAGAGCTTAATATATGCATAGTGGAAATCTGTCGGGCACTTTGCACTTTTGGGAAGCAGTGAGTGGTGAGGTTGGTTGAAATTACGTGAATTTGAGGGTCACAGGGTTCCAAGTTGGACTCCTGGTCCTGCATGTGAGACTGTGTGTGAGCCTTGGCCTCTCCAGGCTGCTGGGGTGGGTGGTACAGGCAGAACTGTTGTCTGTGGTAGCTTAGCACATGCTCACTTAAATACTCCCCTGATGTGACCTTTTACATGAGTAGAATAAGTGTATTTTTAGTGAAAGTTAATGGTTATATTATGGGGGAGGAAACAAATATTTGATTTTATTGCTCAATAAAGAGCACAGAGATCATGGGTTCTTGCATTTACTTTATGGTTACCCCTTGAACCTTCTGGAATAAACTAATTTCCGGAGGTGGTTTTTTGTTGTTGTTGTTGTTTGTGTGTTTTTGTTTTTTGTTTGTTTGTGTTTTGTGAGACACTATCTCACTCTGTCACCCAGGCTGGAGTGCAGTGGCACGATCTTGGCTCACTGCAGCCTCCATCTCCTGGGTTCAAGCGATTATCCTACCTCAGCCTTCCACGCAGCTGGAATTACAGGTGTGCGCCACTATGCACAGCTAATTTTTGTATTTTTAGTAGAAACCGGTTTTTGCCATGTTCACCAGGCTGGTCTCAAACTCCTGGTTTCCAGTGATCCACCCGCCTCAGCCTCCCAAAGGGCTGGGATTACAGGTGTGAGCCACCATGCCTGGCCTACTTATTTTACTTTTTAAAAGAAAGATATACTCTATTTTGGACCTTTGATGGCACAGTATCTCAGATTACTCTGTTGAATGGAAGTACCAGTGGATTTGGGGCAGGAAGCCTGGGTTTTGGCCCTAATGCAGCTTTTCTCAGTGACTTTGAGGGAGTTGCTAGGAAGCTGGGTCGTACAATCTCTGAGGCTCCTTCCTGGCTAGGTTTGGTGATCTTTGCACTGCAACTTTGTGAATAATATTTCTTCAGAGATGTCATTGATTAAATTACTTCAGTTGTTATTTAGCTTGTTAAATGTTTTGAGTGGTATCTAATGCTAAGAGACCTAGTTGTTCCACAGTCATATAGTAGTGATTTAATAAGATGCACCTCCTGGAAAAACATTCGTGTATTTTGCTGAGAGCAAGTTTACTTGTGTCACTGGTCACTTTTGTGGCCTTGGAAGGGTTACTTATTTTCTCAGTGCCTGCAAAACCAGGTGTGTGTGGATTAACATGTTTTAGGTCACAGAGAACCTTTTTGAAAACTGTGCATTCTTCGTGGAAATCTGTATTATTCTCAAGACTTTACACGTAACTTCAGGAAGTTAAATGGAAACAATCTACCCAAGGCTCCCCAGTTAGGAAGGCCTGGCTTACGTACTCTCTTAGATTGAGAGTAACGTTATACCCTTTCCTAGTTCTTGCTAAACACCAAACAGTGATCTAAATGTTTTCCAGGCCAGGCATGGTGGCTCACACATGTAATCCCAACACTTTGGGAGGCCGAGGTGGGCAGATCACCTGAGGTCAGGAGTTCGAGACCAGCCTGTCCAACATGGTGAAACCCCATCTCTGCTAAAAATATAAAAATTAGCCAGGCATGGTGGCGCATGCCTGTAGTCCCAGCTACTCAGGAGGCTCAGGCAGGAGAATTGCTTGAACCCCGGAGGCGGAGGTTGCAGTGAGCCAGGATTGTGCCATTGCACTCCAGCCTGAGCAACAGAGCGAGACTGTCTCAAAAAAAAAAAAAAATGAATAAATAAATAAATGCTTTCCAGACATTAATTTGATTAATCCTCACAGCAATCCCTCAAGGTAAATGCTGCTGGTCTCCCCATTTTACAGATGAGGATACTGAGGCACAGAACCTGCTACTAGAGTTTCATAGCTACTAGATATCAGAGCCAGGATTCCAACCAGGCAGCCTGGCTTAGAGCCTATGCTCTGAATGAATACTCTCCTGCTTTGAGTAACAGATGGGCTAATTTCTGTAAGAGGGGATCTGAGAGAATCTGAGTGGGTGTACGTGAACAAAATATATTGAGACGGGGGCTTCTGGATGCTCAAGAGTGTGGAGGACTCCACACTGGATGTAGCAGAGATGGTGCTTGGTGAGCAGAAGTGACCACTGCCTTTCTGGGTATGGGACGGACATGGCAAAGGACTAAAAGAGTTTTTTGAGATCATTACTCTTAGAAATGAGAGGAGCCAAAAGGAAGCTGCAGCAAGATGAGAAATATAGGACAAGCACCAGAAAAGAAGAGTGGTGAAGCAGATTGGAGAATGAATTGAAGGAGTGGGCCATCCGCAGCATCAGGGCTCACCAGGAGACCGAGAGGATGGCTTGGGGCAATTCACCTAGCACCTGCACTGTCAGCTCTCAGCAGAGTAAGGAGGCAGAGCCTGGTGTGGGAAGTCAGGAAGGGAGCAGGGGAAAACAGGGCTCCCCCTGCCTGGGTGTGGATTCAGGCCTCAGGCAGATGCCTTCCCTTCTGTGAGCTGAAATTGCTGCTTCTGCTGTGAAAAGGAGGGGTAACAGTGCCAGCCCCCTAGGGATTGAGGGTAAGGAGACTCTACGAGATAACCCACAGGCACGCCTACACAGGGCAGTGATGTTCTTCCATCCCTACTCCCTTTTGCGGCTCTTCCTACTGGTGTTGGTCTCATGGGATCAGAAGCCTGTAACAGGACTCCTTGTGTGGTCCCTGGAGTCCAGCCAACCTGCACTTGAACCCAGCCCCACTACTTTGGCATCTTGGACGGTTTCAGAACTCTTCCAACCCTTGTCTTCCTCATCTGCCAGGCTGTGGGGGTTACTGTTAGACACCTGCACATGCAGCACCTGTGACCGTCAGTCGTCCCCTCACTGAAAGAGCACTGGCACTCTTGCATGCTGAGCAGCCTCTGTGGATTTCACTTGTCTTACCCAGGGATTGAAGAATCCAGAAACATATTCCTCAGGTGACAC